TGAGTACTGATGGTTGAAGCGAGCAAAATTATATCTTTGATATATAGACTTGAACAAACATTTATTAGCAAACATACAGTTGTTCTGTCAACTCAGTGAAGACGTGCTGCAGTTCTGGTGGTTTACCTATTACTTTGCAGGAACAGACCACTTAAGGCTGACTGGACAATAATCCAGAGACCCCAGGCAGAAACCACAAACCAGAACTCATGAGACAAAATAAACACTTAGAGACCAAGCCTCAGATACTGTGCCTAGACCTCATGAGATTTCTGCTAGCTTTCTTATACAAGTACTAGGAACTACTCTGAAATAATTTAGTTCACAAATCCTGAAGACCTGTAGTTTACCAATAAGAGCCACTATTAACATCTAGTATACAGATCAACAAGCCATTCATTAAAAAAAAAAAAAAACCCTACTTGAAACAGTGACTCTAATTATCAAACCCTGTGACAGTGAGATATTGACACCAGAAGAACTTGTAACTGCTGCCTCCGGCCTGACTGGAACACCAGGTAAGCACTCATGCAGTGGGGTTTTTAAGTTAGACCTACCAACTGTTGCTGAGTTATGTGTAACTTTATACATATATAAAAGCAACAGTGCCTCTTCTGAAACAAGGAAAGCAGAATTGGAAAAAGAAACACTGCTAGATAATTTCCCCAAATGTTCAGGACTGAACTGATTTTGTTTCAGATGGAGATGGAGGACAGGCAGCATGGCTGCAGGGAGGGGATTTAGACTGTTGTGAAAGATTCCCTCCCCTAAACTGCAATGGTTCACACTGCCCTTCCAACAATCAGTGCTTGCTGGAACTCCTTAGTGCCTATCACAGACATTCTATAGCTGCTTATAAAAATGATTTACGAGCCTTTTATTAGAAAAGGAAAATCGAACCAATTTTAATTATTTTGCAGTATTTCATCAATTCTAGGAGGAAGCACTGCATCATCTAATGGGGGATGAACAAATGAAGTGAGTGTGAGCTACCTACCCTACCTACCCATCAGTCATGGTCGACACAATTTTACTGTCAAGAAAATGAGATTGTTACTAGAAGAAGAAAGAAGAGGAAAAAAAAAAAGAGTAATCTGATACAACTTGATGAACTTGACCTATACCTATGGATGCAATAGCTCAAAAGAGGGAACAAATTCTTTATAGCAAGGATCATTCCCACCCCCTCCATACACAGAGTTGACAGGGACGGGCATCTTGGACATTGGTTACCCAAAATGGGCGGGGGGGTTGGTTTCAAAGGCAAGAAGTGACTGGCTTACAAGCTTTCAAGAGGGAACCTAAGTCCAGAGGGTGTCGAGCAAGGTAGAATCCCCACTGAGTAGTATCCAATCTGTCTAGGTGGGGCTGATGAAATGAAATGCGAATAGGTCTCTCATGATAGTGAATAACTGTTATCAGGATTGATTGTGAGGGTTGAAAATGTAAAGGCAGATGTTTTGTAGCAAAAGGAGGGGAATGATTGACTTTGCAGTCTA